TTTTTTTTTTTTTTTTTTTTTTTAAACTTTTATTATAGATGTGATCATGTTCTATTATAATCACGCTTACTTACATATATAAACTTACAGAATATAAGATAAAAAAAAATACATATAAGAATTAAGCATTATGAAACAAGACTACTTTTCAAAAAGAACAAGTCGACCTGTCACCTAAACGATCATATCATTGTTAAAAACCATGATGCGACCTCAAATTCAAAGGTGACTGTCATAATCTACCTAAAAATTTGCCCAATGACCGCTTCGATGGAATGCCAAATCATTCCATTTATTCCAATTACTTTCTAACATCTTACAGCCAACATTTTTAACACCCACTTCAGTGCGATTACTATGTGACTTAGCTTTTTTATCTTTATCGCTAATACCGCATCGCTTTTCTTTCTTTACTACACGTTATAAATAACGTGCATGTATGATTCTTTCTTTATTAAAAAAGCTGTATGTACATACTATCGAATACAGAATGATGAAATAAATGAAAACATTTTCTAAATAATTCGATAAAACTACTGGGAAAGTCTATATATTTTTCTTTCAAATAAAATTTGCCATATGTAAATATAATCAAATATGGAATGATGTGAAACTAAAAATAAATTCGATAGACAAACTGTCTATATATTTTTCTTTCTAACCAAATAGCCTTATGTAAATATTATCAGATAAGGAATGATCTAAAATCCTAAAATAATTATTCATTTTTTCCCTTTTGATAATTTGTTTCTTAATAATTAGCCATCCCACAAAAGAAAATAGAAAAACAAAACAAGAATAACTAATCATATACTTATGTCCCCTTAATACAACATATCTTGCTCTAATTTACGAGCTTTAATTGCACACTGATTAACCATGTAGTTATGAGTAACCCCATGTCCACGCCTTGCTCTTCTAATCTCATTACAATATGTCGTTAAAAGACTTTTATCTCTAATACTATTCAAACCCCGATGAAATTCTGACCTTGTAATAGGTTCTCGTCTATTGAGTATTTCTTGCCAAGGAGTGACATTATCCTGTCCACTAATTTCCATTTTCTGAAGGTCCGTAACAATATTATCTATTGTAACACTTTAACCAGCATTACTCGGCTGTTCTGCTAATAACTTAGCATCATTTCATTCAAAAAAAGCGTCTTTTTTCTTTCTTAATTCAAAAAAATGCTTTTCGTTAAAAGAATGATTCATAAAAATATCATCTATTAACATTTTGTATCCAACTTTACTCGTAACTTGATCTACCAGAAACTCTATTTCTTTTTCTGATATGTACTGTTTCTTAAGGATATCACCTCTACGTTTCAACTTATGTTTGGAAATGAGTACCTTTGATTCAATTCCATTATTTGTAACCTACCATTTATTCTTATTACTCTTGAGGTTGTTTTTAAACCTCTTTTTATACTTCTCTTGTTCTTTTGGCGTCTTAAATTGCTTGTTTATCCGTAAATTTGAATACGTAACTGCATATTTACGTGCTCCACCATCCATTGAAACTTTTTTTGTATAAGACACGCCTAAGGTTGCTTGCCGAAACCTACATCAGGAAATTTGTTTAGGCGTAATTTAGTGTAATATTTCGAAGGTGGTGTAAAATTTCGAAATATTACACTAAAAACGTAATATTACAAAAGTTTACGCTCTTAAATTTGAATAATTATAGTAATTTAAGAATATCTCGCTATCTACTGATCCAATCAAGACGATCTATAGC